GAAAAAAGTTACATAGGTGATTGTTATTCGCAAAAAGTTATATAGTCGTCAACTATCCGGAAGAGAATGGTGTAATCGATTATAACTTTCAAAAATGTAACATGGCTACCGCACAAATATATCACATGAAGTTTTGCAGTGTAAAAAGTGTTTCGACAACGATCGGAAGTCCGGATGGATGTAAGAAAGAAATACGAGTGGTCCTATTTTCTCCCGTCATAAAGATATACCGCGAGGAAGTCGTTCGCAAAAAAAGTAGAACGCCGTATTTTTGCCGTGAACGATCGCGCACACACAGCATTTTCCACGCAGCGCGACATATCTTTGTGGTAAAAACAGTTTTAGCGTTCCACAAAAATCGCCGGGACGTCGTGGTCGAGTTGGCTCGCGTGCGAGATCAATCGCCAGATATAGAAGGATATATAAGGATGGGCTTTTCGTATCTTCATCCTTGATTTTTTATGGAATAAATTCATGGGACAAGATTCTTCGAATAGTTAAAGATATATTATTCGTGCCTTTGTCTGTATTATTCTTCATACATATTGTTTAAACATTTTCTTTAGCTAAAAAAATATTTCTTGCTGTACATTTTTTAAATATGGTCTGATTTAGCTAAAATTTGAATTTAGAAAATTGTATTATTTTATTTATTTTAAATTCTCGCTAAACAATCGCTTGAATAATACAGAGAATTTGAAAATTGTTAGTAAAATAATAAAAAAATATATAACGATACTAAATAATTAAATAACGTAAATAATATCGAAATACATGTTGGATCATTAAAGAGAGATAATTTAAAGTGGTATAATGCATTATAAATAGACATATCGATTCACCTATGCTTCTAGCGCGCGCTGCGTGATTAAGTGCAATAGATTCTGAGTAATTTACAATTTTTGTAGAGCTACCTCCTTCGTCGAATCAAGATATTTCTCTCGCGTCAAAATGGCGCATTCCTTCAAAATGTGCACGCAAGGATTATAACAGGGCGCAAGTTAAACTTTATGTTAGAGGAGATATAGTGAAAAGTTTCGCCATATGTGTGTGTGATGAACTCGTGAACTCTCATGGAATATCTCGCCGTGTAAAACTTTAATAACGAGATACGCTCTGCGAGGACATCCGGAGTCTGAAATACTGCGAATCAATAAAATCTCAAAGTCGATGCCGAGAGCGTGCGGTTATTCAAAATATTTCCGGAATTTGTTTTACCAGATTAAGTTATGTTCGCAATACGGCGTTAGCAGGAGCTTGCAGCACCGTCACGCTATTGCGGTCTTGTGAGTCACTGGAACGTAACGGTCGGTAATAATATCGCACGAAATTACAACGCAGGAATCTCTCGCGTAGAAAGAATTCAATCTCCATGCAATTACGGGAATAATAATCGCCCAGCGGTCAAGCAGCGCGCGAGACGTTAACTCAACACCGCGACGTCGAGAAGCTGATCATCGCCGATGTCCTAATTGATCGACGCACGCAGATGTGGATGTAATAAATAATGAATGAGGTGCAATGTACCCTCGTATCTAGCGCACTTTCATTAATTATTCATTAAATCTAATTTCAAAAATTGTAGGAAGAGGAATTTAAATAATCTGATTATTCAAAAGCTGGATTAAATTAATTGTAAGTTTTGAAAATCTCATCAAGATCGTAGAATCGGTTTGAATGAATTTAAATGAATTTGGATAGAATAGAATTTATTAGCTTTAAAAGACTGATCTTTGGCGGAAAAGAATTCTTCAGGAATTCAAAATATTTAGGATTTTTTAAAATATTTTCACTTCTTTCAAAACGCCTGAGAGCTTTCGTTTAAAAATATCTAAACAGAAACAATATCACAACGTTGCACATATTCTAAGTAATTTTATTTTAATACAAAATTAATAATTATTTTTTATATTAAGTTAATCAAATTTACAATTTAATTTATGTACCATTTTTAAGATAAACCACCCGAATTATTCGATTATCGTAAAAACGAGAAGTTGCAACGGTTGCAACTCAACTGTGTTGAGTCGACGATATTTTTTCGAAGAAAGCCTTGCAAAGTCGAGGGTGTTTTTATTAAAGTATCGAGCCTCTCAGGATGGCGGCCATTATGACGGCGAAGAAGGATAGTTCAGGGATTTTAATTTATTATCCCCTTAAGCTAGTCCGTGGTGGTTCGTCGATGTAAATCCTAGCACGATCGATAGACACACCTCGGCCGCTTCGACCGAAGGTGGAGGTTTATAACTGGCCGGGGTGAAGGAACTCTTGAATCTCGCGCGACTGTAGATAGGACGAGAACTTCCTCGGCCTGCTCGTGTCTTGGCTGGCGAAGCGAAAACTTTCCGCGGAAGCACGTTCGCCATTTCGCGGGCATCGCTCGCATTCTACGATAATAAAATAGCATCACGCTAGTTCCTGTCGAATCGTTCGCGGAAGTAACTTCTCTGTGTTTCCGAAGATTTTTCTCAAAACAGGACGCGGCTTTGTATCTACATTTTATGGAAAACGGTCAATATAGAACGTCACTGAGTGCCCGTAAGCGTGAAATTTTCGCTATAGTCGAGCATTAAATCTAAACTACTCAAAGAGAAAGGAGAACGAAAGAGAAAAATTGAGATATTCTATCATTCGGACAAATTAAGTTTCACACGTTGAGAAATCATTAGTGTATTTAGATGGTAATTATAAAAGTAGCACAAAAGTCGACAAACTGCTTAGAATTATTAATTCTATTAATTATCAAGTTTTATTATACGGCTGAAGGTAGTTTCTATAATTGTCAACCTGTTTCCATATTTTTAGCATCGCCAAACTCGCCAAAGTTATCGCGGAAATTAGTAATCTCAAGGATCTGGGGCGATTTATTACGTTTTTAATTTTGCTTAAGAGAAGGAATTAATTAAACGCAACAACGCGCGAGTGCCGCGCGAAAGTGCGGCTACGTGTAATAAATTAACCGGCAGGCTAATTGCCGAAATTAATTATCTCGTCAACCATCTCGCGGAGCCGCATAAATCACGCGATCATAATTAAGTTTAGCGGCGTCTTGAGAAGTACGAAAACGCCACGAACTTGGAAGCGTCGTGGAACGATGAATTAATAACTGCGCAGTAATGCAACTACCCTGCGATTTGCTTTTAGATATCCGCGAAATTACTGCAATACTACACGGTGTAATCGAACGGCGCGATTTGCCATGTACATACGCCAGAAACATAATACACCAGAAGCATAATGAGATATACTTGGCCAAAGCCTGTGGAACACCCTCGATAAATGATGACAAGCGCCTTTCGCGCGCTGACGCAATGTTTATTTCTTACTCGGAATTATAATAAACAAAAGATCCGAGAGTCTTGATATTTAAAGCAGGGAAACTATGAGTTTATTTTTGCATTGACTTCTCCAAATAAAATATTCTTAAGACCTTCGGTGTGTTTAATTCGCGAACGCTGTATGATCGAAGTTATTACATTTTGATAAAAGAATTCCATTTGCATTCTACGGAAGCTAAGTAGTATAGCAATATGAGAGACCTAGTTTTCAAGCTATTATTATGGTGTGCGATGAAATGCGCGACTAATCATTTCATGTGGTAGGGCCGCTCCTTGAAACAACAATCTTAGATTTATATCGAAGGAGATCCCATTCGAGCAAAGCGAATAACGGTGAGAGCATAATTTGATGGCCGAATACGATACTCGCCGTGCCTATCCTGATAACTTAGCTAAATAGAACACACGCGCGTGAACTTTAATCGATGTGTGCATCACGCAACTCGCAAAAAGAGATCTCAATAATCGTGAGTTCACTTTTTTTTCGCTAAAATATGAAGCTAAAGCTCCGCGGAAGCCTATATCTGTTCTTCTATAGCCTCTTTCTATATTAAGACTCAAAACTTGACCTACGCTCTACGTTTAAAAATAACGTACTGCTATCTTCAAAATTTTGTGCTTTTCTGGAAAATTTCGAGAATCGCGTATATCTATCGCGATAAATTAAAAACGAGTATCGTGTTTAAAGCGATTGCATGTGACGCGGAGTTAAAGAGCTTCGGGACTCCGACGGTCACCGCTATTCTTTTCGGCGCAAGACAATCGCGCCACGAAAACGCGATTCCTTTAATTGAGAGTGATGCCTTGTTGTCGTGCCTCCCGCGCGAGAATCCGCAGAAATTGCATCTTCTGATCCATCATAAGTGCCATTAATATCCGCAATTCAGACCACATTCGGGGCAAATGGCTTTAATTTTTTATCGATTGCCCGTGGGCGATAACAACGTGACTTAATAAGTGAACTCACGCGCGTAAACTTTAATCAATGCATCACGCAACTCGCGAAAAAGATTCATGAATTTAATAATCGCGAATTTGTTTTTCTTTTCTCTTTCATTAATATACAGATCCGAAGCTCCGCGGAAATGTATATACTTTTCTGCAGCGTATCAATATTTCATCCGTTGACAACGCATAATTATCGCACAACGAATTAACGTTATTAATCAACTATGCGTTAGGTACACTTTTTTGTCCGCATGCTATTATTCTTTCTTGACGTTGATTACACTTAATTACATTTCGAATGAAATAAACATATGTTGAAGCTAAAAAGTTGAGGAAAAGATAACAAACATAAAAGACATAATCAAAAAGTAAAAATTTCTCTGAAAGAAAGTAATACTCAGAAAGCATTTTAAAATTAACATGCGAAAAATCTGCGCATAAAAATAATTCTACATCAACGCAAGAAATCTCTCCTGTCGGTTCCATTTATTTTATCCGAAGTAGAGATTTTTTGATGTACCAAAAAATCTGCACATCAGGCAAAAAAAAGCCAACACATTTTCACGAATTCAATTAAATAAAATACATTTTACTTTGACGACGAGAAAATGTAATTTTGCATACTTTTCACGTACTTTTATTCCGAGCAGAATATAGAATGCGTTATAACGCGCGCGTGATGCGCGATAAAAGATAGAATAAAAATTTACTCACGCCGGCTCTCCGTTCTGCTCGACGCGGACGATGTTGCCGCTGAGCGTCTCGATCTCCTGCGATCGCTTCTCCATGTGCACGCCCGTCTTCTCCCTCGGCGAGGACACCCCCCGCACCGTGTTCACGCTCACCCCCGTGTCCGTCGATCTCACGCTCTCGATGGAATCCGTGGACACGCCGGTGGACGACTTCAAGGACGCGTCGCTGCCGCGATTCTCATTCCTCGCGCGAACCACGGCACCACTCGCGTTCACACTCGCGTTTACTGCACCCGCCGCGGGATTCACGCTGTTATTGCTCTTCGCCGCGCTGTTCGTCGCGTTGTTCGTCGCCGTCGCGCTGTTCGCCGTCGCGGTCTTCACTTCCGCTTCTTGGCCTGCTTTGGCAACCATCGACTCGTTCTCCATCACCGTAGGCATCTTATCATTCGCCGGAAGCTCGCGATTAGTGGCTGCCTTGCTGCCGGCGGAGCCGCTCTTGGTCTCCGCCGGCGTCATCGCCGCTGACGTACCCTCGCCGTTCACTTTGACGTTCTTCGCGGAGCTCTGACCGACGCTGCCGCTCTTCGAGTGTCCTCCGATGCTGCCCACGTCCGCGCCTGCTGAAGGATCCTTCTTGTCGTTTCCAGCATTATTCGCTTTAGCCGACTGGTTCTCGGCGGACGGCGCGGATTTCTGGCTCGTTGAAGCCGCGTTCTGCGTCGATGCAGGCACCGGCGACGCGTCCTTGGGCACAGGAGATCTGGCTACGTCGATTCGTTCCTTCGACTGACTCATCGTCGAGCCGTCACTGCGCTCCGTGAGAAGCGTGTTCGCGTCGATGTGCAGCGGCTGCACCGCCGTGGTCGTCGTGGTGTTCACCAGACGTTCGCTGGACGTGCCGATCGCCTGCGACGTTTGCTTCAAGAGGTCCCTGAGATCCACTTCGTCCGCGTTGCCCGAGAAGGTTTCATCTATCTCCATTTCGTATACAACGTCCACTTCGGACGATCGGCCATTCTGAACGGATTGGCCGCCCTGCTTGTTGCCCTTGCCTTCCCTGACAGCTTTGTCCGTCTTCTTGGACCTCTCCGAGTTTTGTTCGGGCATTGTGATGAACCTGCCGGTGTTCAACGACGCGCCGTTCGCTTTGTTTTTCAAAGGAATCTTCGACGGCGAGACGACGCGCTCCTTGCTGGGGTTTCGATTCTGATTATCTCTTCGCGTCGCGACTGTGCTGTTCTTCTGCGGTGACGTTCTCGATGTCTTCACGGGAGATCTCGAAGAATCTTTTCCTCTCACATTCGTTTTCTCCGGTTTCGTCGGTGTTCCTTGAATCGGCGAGAGCCGCGTCGACGCTTTCGTCGTCATCTGTCGGCGCAATGTCGTCGTGTTGCCGTTGAGATTGCTGGTGGAGTTGGAGATAAAACGGGTCCTGGGTTCGATGAGATTCGTGCGGCTCCGGGAGTCGGTTCTGTTCAGACGCGTCTTCGAATCGGCAGCGTTCAGTCGACCGCGCGAGTTCGAGACGTTAAATCGCGTCTTCGAGTCAACTCGGCGACCTATCTTCGGCGATGGTGAACGTTCGGTGTCCTTCGTCAAGGAGGTGGATCGCTGACGGTAAGTCGGCTGCGGTATCAAGCTTCTTCTGGGGCTGTTCTGCTGCGACACTGAGACTGCAAGAAATGAACGAGCGATTTAGGCATAATTGTTAACTGATTGCGCACTATGCAAAATGATATAAGATCTGTGAATTTTTTTATTAATTTTTTTATTAACTTTGTCAATTTCTTTAGAAAATCTGTATTGTGAAAGAAATTCGAGGAATTGATCCTCAAAATATTGGAAGCAAACATCTTTCGAGCTTCCTGAGAATTTTAGGCGATATATTCGTCTTAATAAATTCTCGAACCTACCCCTTCGCTCGACTCTGCCGCGCCGACGTCCGTTTCCGGCGACTTCCGGCGACTGTGGTCTCGACATTGAGCGAGGAGGTGGCCCTTTGAAGCCACGTCCGCGGAACGGCGAGACTCTGCCCGTAGGCAAGGTGGATGACGTATTCTCGGATTCCGGACTCGCCGGGCTGGACTCGGCGAGTATCACGAAGCTGGAACGACGATGCGCTCTGCTGTAGGACGTCGACGACGGGGCGACCTTGTAGGGCTCGGGGGCGCGCGGCGGCGGCGGCGCCGCCGGGGGCGGCATCGGCGACAGGTAAGTGGTATCGGCCAGCACCCGAAAAGGCGGCGGGCCTTGCCGCGCGACGTGGCCGTCATGATCGGTCCTTCTCATCCTTTACAAGGTCCTATCTCTCGTTGGAAAATAATTATCACTATTAATATTAAATTGCATTAATTCGCAGAGAACTGACGAGAGCTCTGCGCGATTTGACATTGAAATAATGAAAAAAGGGAAATGTTTTATATCTTATCGATTGAAATATTAGAAGATAGTTATGATTTCATGTTATTTGAATATTTTATTGATAATGAAAATTTAATTTGAATTGAATTGATACAATTATGGTATTGATAACAATAAACACTCTGCTAAAATATTATTTTAGATGAATAATAATATTTGCAAGCACAGTAAGATTAATTTTACTTGATTATATATTTCTAAGTAGAAGTTTATGCTTTAATATATTCTGAAATTTATTTTAATTGAAACTTATACACGTTTCTGTGTACCTGGTGTCCTTCATGCAGATCGCTGAAGTGAACGCCAAGATCCGCTGTTACTCTCACCTGGAAAGAATAGAAATCTTTACTGAGAAAGAGAGAGTGCATGATTATCTTGCAAATAAACGGAGAAATTTTGATGTCGATAACAATTGAGATAATGCGAAATCGTGGTTCCGCGCAATGACATCTCGGACAGAGAAAATCCTCGGACAGAGGAGTAGAAATAATCACCCAATTATTCCGATCAATCGATTGTTCGCGCGCACAGCATTAAAAAACTTGAACTAAAACAAACTATTTATTTTTTCTATGTACGCAATATTATTAAAACGGAAGAAAAATGCCGTTAATTCTATCGTTATCTTAGAATTGTAATTGTTTCAATTATGTCGGTTTTACTTTGAGATATTATGTCAATGAAAAGAATGGATTGATAAGACACTTAGGTTTTCACAATGTTATTGTGCGCTACATTGATAGCAGATCTTTCACCGTTCAGAACATCCGTGAGACTCTCCCATTGTAGGCAAATTTTTTCGAAATGTTTCTCTTCTCTTTACAAATGAAAAAGGAGCGGTCGGCAATTACGAGTGTATAATTATTCGTTCTGTGCGGCTTAGCACGCGCCCCGGCAATAAAAATGTTCTCAGCGGATACGTGGAACGCGCGTTATTCACGCTCTCGTAGACGATCGCCTGAGCGAATTCTTCGCGCTTACCAGGACGCCGCTGAACTACATTCGTGATGCGTCGCGCAACGCTGAAACTCCGATAATAAAAGAAGAAGTTCAGTGCGCCGACGTATCTGCGAAATTCGTCGAGGCGCAAAATACAATAATTAATCACTAAAAACGCTTGACCACACGACCTATCGCGTGATGACGATAACAGTATCACTGCAAAATAAAAACGGTCGAGAAATTTCTGCTGCTGCGAAAAACTACAGTTTGAGAATTTTTCATTGCTTTTTACACGAAGAGAATATTATGAAAAAGATACGTTATTTTAATTATTTTGCAAGATGCCGTTGTATTGTTGAAATTAATGCACTGTAGTGAACGAAGGTTTTCCAAATAGCACTTAAACGACGAAGCGGCTATACATTTCACTCTATTGACCGCGAATATTTTATTTGCGAGTAAGATTTAGATCGGGACGAGTGGGAAGTGTCCGTGCTGTAATTTACCGTGCAGCCGCTTGTTACAACAGCCACCGGGTGATTTACAACTGTTGTACGCCACGAATCAATGGACGAGCGAATACGAGCATGAATGCACCGTAAATTGTAAAACCGCGAGGGCGGACTCGAAGCACGCGTGCAAGTGGTAGTTTCCAGCGCGATTAGTTACCTTAAATCGTAAATAGGAAACATACATAAGTACATAAGCCAAATTATACCTTCGGACCGGGATCGAAAATGCGACAACGCTAAAGTGCGCAAGGATCGCATCGAAATTTGCAGGAAAAATTCAATACAAAAATATCAAATATTAATTTTCTAGCTGAATTTATTTTAATTCTTTCTCAAGCCCACTCGAGTTTTTAATCATGTTTAAATAAAAATAGAATTTATCCGATGCGCTTGTTTATTTAACTGAAAATATTTGATCTGGTTATATAATTTTGCAGGAACATTCGCAAGCTTGCGCCGTGAATTTCACGACTCGACAATAAATTCATGATTTCCATAATTCCACAATTCTCCGCATTCGCTTAGGCATACTGATGCACTCTACGTAATTACCATCGTATATCAGTAATTGTTCATGAGGAAGATATGAAGTATACAGAGTTCGAAATAACAGAAGATCCTCGAGTACGTACTTTCACTCGTCATAGCTCCAAATTGTCTCATTAAATAAAAGCGACGAGGTGCCTGTTATTATCATTATGAAGGTTGAAACTCGAGATTTCCATCATTATTCGGCTACGCCGCATTTAACGCGCGGAGATTGAGAAAAAAAAAGTTTATTATTATTTTCTATCAAAACCAATGGTCTTTAGTTTACAGTTTTTTTACGCCGGCAACATCATAAAATATGAAAACGCCAGCGTTATCTTTTTTGCATTGCGTTTGAAATCGCAATAAAGACAATTGCGAAAGATGGAAATCGATTTTATCGGCTTGTAGAATCAAACTTTCGCTCTAATTAAATCTCACTTCTATTTAACAGTGCATCAAGCATTGGGCAAGACCGATTCTAAATTTTTATTACCTAATATAAGAATTATATTTGATTCGGTAAACATCAAAGCGCAAGAAGTGAAGATCGAGCAGTTTTGTGTTAGATACATGCGATGAGATCAAAGGTCAATATTTACAGCTTATTTCATGTCTTTAATTTATTCCGCGCGACAGGTTGCATATTTGTGGATCCACCGCATGCGCCATTATTATCCGATATATTCTGGCTATCTCGCGTCTATAGATATGGCTAGATCTATATCTCTAGATATAGATATCACACACACACACACAGGCAGGAAGAGATACGTTTATTTCAGTACGTCACTGAAATCTTGAAAGTTCATCGATAGTATCTTCATCGCTTTACATAATTTTGATTCTTCATGTATTAAACTTCCATGCACGAAGTTTTACGTTGCAATGCAACTATGTAATGTGTATATTTACAAAACTAAGCTCACACACGACGTTCGCTCGACTTTTTACCGTCAAATAGCGTAACTAGGCATATAACACATAGAACTGATCTATAGAGTTTGTTCGAATACCGTGCTTCCACGTAGCACGCAGATTTGACCTTTATTCACTGTTTGAATACCCTAATCGATCACGAGTCCGACGCTTAAATTTAAATAAGAACATCGCGCGTTCGGAAGTGACCGCCGCCACAGCCTCGAACATAAATTGCAGCAAAAGCATGTAAACTCATGTCGAATATTCGCCACCAATTATGAGCGCGACAAAGTGCACTGACATCTGACTGTAATATTAAAAATCATTATCTTTATTTTATTTATATTTAAAATTTTTTCTAGGTAATTCAAAAAATTTCAAGTTGCTCATATGAATGCGAACTGTGTGAAAATTTACTTAACACACCTTCTTGATTTTCTTGAAATCTTGTTGGAGTAATCGAGCGCTAGAAACACACAAACTCGAAGGATTTTTTTTCTCACGTTCTCGTGACCGAAAAAGCACGAACAATTCGCCGTGATGAAACCGCGCGCGATGGGTCACCGATTCGCTGTGACAAAGTCGAGGAAGAGGCGCGCTAAGCCACGTCCTTAATTAAAAACACTATCCGTTGCACAATGTTCAATTAAGTCTCACGCCGATCGCGTTGCCGCGCTTTCCACACACAACAGTCGCGAGTTCACCGCGGCCTCTTCTTTTTCTTCCGTGCAGCCGCGCTGCAATAACGCGTTCTGTCGCAATCGCACATATCGCGTGGATCACATAGCCGATCATAAATCGACTCGCGCCTCAAAGGAGAATGGAAAACGCGAATTCCGGGGTCAACGACTCGACTTTACACCTGCGTTTAGCGACCGGAGAGGTTCCAGACGACGGAACATTTGCGTAACTGTTGATTCTTTCGCGAAACGCTATGATTCCGTTGATCGCTCGCTTGACAGACGTTATTGAGTTCTTTTTCAGCTACTAAATATTTTTTAATCAGCTGTGAAATCGCTGATTAACTGCTAATTATATTTTTTTTATTTTTAGGGAAGCTGCACAATGTTCAAAAGAATTAATTTTTACATATAAAATAGAAAATTATTAAGCTTTGTGTGTTTTTAATCAGATAATTTTCAGTCCAACTAAATATTCATTTTTTTTTCTATTTCTATGTGGATGTTTTAAATATGTTATTTTATATTTCTGCACTTTTTAATACTTTCTACTGTCACAACAAGTTTGCTTTGCGAATTGATCTGAAATAGATAATGGTATTTAAAATGTCTTGGAAAAGTCTTTTCATCGATCCTGCAATATTTTTTCCGAGTACATTTCACTTCCGCAATTTGCATTTAAGAATCCGATGTATGATCTGCATTTCTTTGTAAAGAAGACACCAAGTAGTTCTAACTGTAATGCGTTTTTAATATCACCAGCATAACGTTACTCCGTTTCGAAAGCGTAATAACGAGGCTTTTATTAATCTGGAATTTCTTCCTGATGCTGCGGTTGACGCACAGGTTTTGCACCGGGAAACGATACGTTTGCCATGCCACGTAACAATTAATGTAGGACTGCACCGACCATTTTGCTCGAAATGATCGGGTATTACGCGAACGTTACGCCGCTCGGAACTTCCTCGCTCTACAAATCCAGGTGTACCGGTTTTTGACCGCGCCTCTCATAAAAGCAGTTTCTCGCGCGGAACTTTAATAATATCCGTGTGTATACGTGCCCATTAAATAACCAAGAAAACTTTTGGAAACTCGGGTTTCGCAAGTCTATGCGATTTTCGAAAGCGCTGCACGTCGCTTATAAATTCGCATGATTGTTGCAGTAAGCAATCTTGATATAGCAAGCACATTAAACAGTAGGAAACAAAATAGGTATAAATTTGTGCTAAGAATGCATATGTAATTTTTTCTCAATTTTATATCATCAAAATTTATATTTTATTTTTAAACAGTGACTCTTTTGATGTGTTTTATTAAAATTTAGATAGCATAAAATAATATAAAACCGTATATATATTTAAATATATTTGTAACACTGTGACAAAAGAAATTCGTTTAAACGATATATTTTTCGCTAATTAAAAGATCATAAAATATAAACTCTCGCGCATAGACAAGCGTGCGATTGAACTTCTTGCATGCGAATATAAAAATACACTTTAATAAAACTTTAAACACTCTCTAAGATATCTAAAATACTTTTTTCTTTAAGTATTGAAATTCTAACTGTGTGTATTAATTCTATTTTTTGTTAATTAATAGAAGATGTAAAGAATTTTATTTAACTTCAATTTCACTGCAACGAAAGAAATTGTAGTGGCGAAACCGACGCGAATTTGAATGCATCACGCGATGCGTAAGACAAAACACATCTTCATCCCGCTGTGTCAAAACGATGCGCGTTCTTTGCCGATCAGAAGATCATAAAATATAAATTCTCGCGCCTTCATAGACAGGCGCATCGAACCTCTCGCGTGCAAGTCACTATCACGATTGTGCTTGCAAAGATGATCGTTGGAGAATATTCAAGGCCGCATGGTCATCGATAAACGCAGGCTTACAGTGCAATTTTAAAATATGCCCTGTAGCCTCGACAGCAATTTATTTTGATTTCTCGGAGTATGAATCTTCGTGATAGAGCTTTTTCGAAGATAGAGCTTGTTTCTATCATTGCATACTGTTCTCATTTGTCGCTCATGATCATTAATTAGATTTATCATTTTTTATTATACGTAAATATTATTGAAAAAGTTCCACATAAACTTAAAGATATACTTTTGTGATCAATTTTTGTCTATTCAATTCTTATGGCGAGAATTGTGACAACAAGTAAATGTACGACTGTATCGAGAGTTTGATTGACAACGCAAACGAGAGCACAGAGTTAATCGTCCTCGTTAACGTGTAAAGCAAGTTGGTATCTTGAGGATCGATACTTTTCCTAAGAAGATTTTTCGCACGAGGCGCCGCCTCTTATATCGATCTGATTCGAATTCAAGTACGTAGACCGCGAGCGGGTCGGACGTGTAAAACTTTCCTCGGCTGAATGAACGAAGCTATTCACGCGATTTTTTTAATCTGATTCAATGAATTCTTGACGATATAACTTTCGCGTCTCAGGAAAAACTGTGCCGATCTCAATCATCCAAGGTTAATTAATTCTCCGGTAATTAGGATGTGCCAAATATCAATAATCGTATACACATCGTTCAAAAATAAAACAATATTATTCACGCATTCATAAAAGATTAATAAATAGATCACAGAGCGATTAAATCAATAAATGGTTCTTTTATTTAAAATTTAAATTATTTAATGATCAGTGCTTTTATAATTTTTAAATTAATAAATCATTTAAATAATAAAATCTGCTCGCTCCACACTATAAAACACTGAAAAAGTACCATCAGTTTTTATTTTGTTTAATCTTGTGCTTGATACTTGGCTTATAATTAAATAAGCAATCTGGTGAAAATTAAAACACAACGTTGAGAAGCAAAAATTGCTTCTACAATTTAGAGCAAGGTTACAAAATTATTTTTCCTTGCGAGGAGATAATGCTTTCTTAATAATTCCACATACAAAGCAGACGCAAAAGAAAACATTACGTCATTAGAAAAACAGATTTCTAAGCTTCACGTTATGTCGGCGTAATTAAAAGGGAAATACATTCTCCCTGCTTTTTTTCATCAGTTTGCACGCGAACGTTTCCGTGTAACAATCGTTATTAATTAACATTCGCCACTATCAGACGATATGCATCATTCGTGAATCGCATAAACTCTTTTCATTTCAGCGCGATTTGCAATTCGTTCCGCTCATATTCGAACAGTCGGAACTCTCGAAACTCGTGAAAAATCATTCCTCCTCGATGCCCCGAAGCCACGCATCGCCGGCGATCGATCGGCAAGATCCTTCTACAGATCTAACGCAACAGTTAAGTGCACCGTGCACCTTGAAGTGACCTACGAGAAACCTTTAGCACTTGATTCACGAGTGACTCCAATATGAACGTCGTGTTTCCTCAAAGTTATTCTAAAGCATTATATATTTCTCGATCACAAATATCAAACAAGAGCACTCACCTACCCGAAATCATTTCAGGCGGAGTATCTACACCAGGTTTTCTCTCAACAAAAAGCAGGAGAACAAGTCGGGTGACAATTTTTACTCGGCGAAGGATGACGAAGGAAGTTTGCCACCCGACCTGCCTTACGGGCTTCACGGCGGCCGTCGCATTGTCGTCTTACCTGTCTCGCAGGTGGACGGAAACGTGGTGTCGCGGAGCGGCTCTCGGCACCATTTACGTCGATCACCCCGAGCGTGTTGCACGCACGAGGGTTGATGGAGCCCGAGGGAAGCGCGCGCGTGCAGAGATCGCGTCCTTCCTCTTTCTTTCTCTCTCTCTCTCTCTCTCTTCTCTCTCTCTCACTCTCTCTCTCTCTCTCTCTCTCTCTTGCTCCCGTCCTCGGCCTCCTCCTCGATCTCGGCACCGCGCGTCCTCGCGCGAACACGAACGCGTCCTCACTGACGCGAGGTCGCCCGACGCGACTTATAGCGCCTGCCGGCCGCGGGATACGCGCCGAAGGTGGTCACTCGCGGGAGGCGCGGGCGCGTTGACCAACACGCGTTCTCTCCACCGCAAGCATGGAAAGTTCACGTCCGCCGACTCATCTCGGCCGCTCCGCAGGGAGTCCCGGAACGAGCAGAAAGTGAGTATGCGATTTTATTTCCCTTGCGAAAATTGAGAATTTGAAGGAGAAAATCAGTTCACCAGAGAAAATGTTGTCGCGAAAATCATTTTTTTCCATAAGTGTCAAAATGACAACGCTTATTACATCTTCATAATTGACAATAAGCCTTAAATTAACATTCTATGAATCTATTATTTCATTTTTTTTAAATCTACAACACTTAGTTTATCAAGAAGTTCTTTATTTCTAATGATTTATATCTCGCAAATTGATTTGCGATGTCTCGACGTATCCACTTACAGAAACAAATTCCAGATTTTTCACAAAAACTAATGCTATCTTTTTTAAGTACTTCTGTAACATTCTATTTGTAGTCAAAAATATAAAATAACTTTTCACGATCTTCTATTGAAGTAAATTTTAGATTGCAATTTGTGATTACTTTACAATCAAAATTACAAATCCAGAATTTACCAGTTTTTATAAAGCTTAAGCTTCTGTTTCTGTAAGCAGAAAATACTAAATATATAATAATAATATTATATTATTACAAATATTGCAAATAATAATTTTTTTCGAAAGAAAATATTTTATTGCCACTATTGCTTCCATTTCAGTCTTCATCTACTTTTTATATATATCGTCAAGACTCTTGCGTGTCAAAGATTCTGAAACTTTTCAGGGGAAAAGCGCTCTAACGAAATTTTGAAAATGGAGTACCAATCTCATGAAGATTCTCCAAAAAAAGAAAGGGAGTCTGCGAGTTTTGCATGCAACACCTACATCCATCCACGTGTTTTCCACCTTTCGGTCTCCGGAGCTGCGCAGACCTTGCCAAGAGCGCGACCAGGTAGCGCCGGAATACGCAGCGTAGTACGTAAACCGCCGCATCTATAATCGAACCACTCAGGCGAGGCTGTTCATTCATTCATTAAGCGACTGGCTCCGAATTATTGGAACATTAACTTGATTGAACGAAACTGGGCACGGCCCTTATAACACACGGAATCCGCATCGCCTTGTCTATGTCATCATCAACGCGCGAACATGGAGCTGCGCCACGTACAAATGACAGCGAAATCGAATATTTAAGGATCAAAAATCTATTCCAGAATCATTTATCCTAAATATTTATCCTAATAGAAAACGTTCTGGTCTTCTCAAAAAGGCAAGTCTTCTAGAATAAAATTTTTTTATAATGAAATAAATTTTTTTGAAATGTAAGGCTTCGAATTTAAAATAATGAACGCAGAAAACAATTTGTTGCATGCAATTCATAACAAATGACATCGTTTTAAATATATTTTATTTATTTATTTATATATATATGTACAGCTTTTTTATATGTGATAATCATTACCACGTTGAGTATGATACATTTGACTGTGAGTAAATGGTACGGCTGTCATACACGAATTATTTTATTGCAAGGGCTTACTCGCATTTATCGGCCAGATCGCGCGATTAGATTTCAGTTAAAATTGATCTTTTTGCCGCTACTACAGAAATTGTTCACATGCGAATTGATTGCGCGAGCGATCTCGCGGATGCGACTGATCCATCCTATGTTTAGGATTGTAATCGGGACGCGCAAAGTAATTAGCGCGCTAATCAGTTTTTCTTACACAGTTCGGATATGTGGTATTAGCAAAACTGTGATCGGTAAAATCCAATCCAATTAATTTAATACGATTAATGCGTGTTGCTCCAGAAATTTCAAACAAATCTGACAAACAAAATAAATCAGAATATATAAATACACGGTATCGTGAATCAGAAAACTGTCATGTTATGAAAAACAGCATTTAAATTATTTCCACAATGTTATAAATCATCAAATCACAACATTTATAAAACAGAATAATGAAATATCTCTTTTCTCTTTACAGAGAGAAAAAAATATTTATAGAATTCGAAGAAACATTTAACGGATTAACAATGTGGAAAACAATACACTGAATTAAAAGTAGATTTGGAGAAACAAAATCAAGAGGAACATGAAAGTGAAGGCTGGAGGTAAATGGCATATTCCATTAATTTGATTAATCGCTATTTACATATTCTTTTAATTAATCGCAAATAATGAACGACCGATAAAGCAAGTACGGGGAGTCGTACCAAGTGGAAGAATTATGTGCATTGCGTGACGCACTATTGACTGTTTCGCTATCCGGCAATGAACTACCGCATTCGTATCTCAGACTTTTGCGCAATAATGACTCATACACACGATCATTAATTTACATTTATAAAAGATTCGTTACGCGTTTAGTTAGTGTCGCGCGATACTTGCGAAGCCATGAGGTATATATTGTCACATACTTTGTATCCGCGTATCCGAACGACGTTACTCGGCGTCGTCGGTGCGTACAACTAATACTGCTGAAAGAATCGCGACGTTAATCGCCTTCATTAGACAACAGATTTTTGCACCAATGCGCTAAGCCAGCTTACGATTAGCCAGCAGCGCAGGTGGTCAAGTCGAGCAAGTTGCCAGACATCAATTCTGAATTGAATTCTTAATTTCTTCGAAATTAGAAAACTCTTAGATTTTTTACAAGCAATCCAATAGCACCGTATATATATTTTTACCATATATCATTTTTTTTTAATCAAGAAAAATGAATAAAAATTGATAAATTTATCTTAAGAAAAGAAGATTCTTAATTTTTTTAACTAAATTAATTTAAAATTTGAATTCTTTTATTTATGTTTATATCATAAATGAGATTATAAAGATAAAAAATAAACAAGACGTTAATCAGAATTAGTTCACTTGAATTGCCAGTGCGATATAAATCAAGTTGTTGATTGTGTCACTGTCGCATCAAACGCGTATTCGATTACGTATTTGTAAACAATGTGCAAACAAGTTTAGATCAATAAATTTAACCAGTCAATTGTTTGCATTGGACTATCACAAAACGTTCTTACTTTTCATCGATAATTAAGCTAGGATTGCTGAAGCGACCTTTCGCTATATATTACACAAAACACTTTGAATAAATTCACGTAAAGTGGCAAATCTCTTTAATCTTTTAAGCCTAGAATGTTGTTTCGCAGAAATAAATTGTGTGGATTTATTCTTCGTGTAATGATCTTTTATATAAACGATGTAATGCCTACATTGCAGATAACAGCGCATGTCATCGCCAGATTTACGAAATTACAGACACCGGTAATGCCGCGATAATTTACCAAATTATTTTTACTCGTGCATGCACTTTGCACTTCCAAGTGCAAAGAATTAAACTCTATTCTTATCACAAGTAATCTAACTTTGGTATTGTAAACGCGGATACTTAATATCATTGAGGAGAAATTAAATGTGAGCACTGAAGAGCTTCGTAAAATAATATCTGCTGGAACAATGTGTTTTCTGGGTATTTCATAAGTTAACTCTTTGTCTCTCTATAATATTGTCGTTCCTATACTTAATGGCGAACGTTCATATTGCTGAACTGAGAAAAAAAGTACTATCTATTCATATTTACGTCGGAATTATCAAATTAAATATAGTTAAACACACATTGTGTCCGATAATCGCACAATTCAATCACAAAGAATTCATACATAATTCAATCGCAGTAAAATTCGTGTAATTTAACATCCGGTTTAATTTTATTTAATTGCGAGTTTTACTGCAACACGGCACGCTTCAAATATCATAAGTTAATAGTAATAAATTAAACATTTTTATTTTTTATTTAAAATAAAATGAGAGTTAACTAATATCTATTAATATTAATATATATATATTATTAATATATATATATTAATATTTGCTGATAATAAATCACTCATAATATAAGTGTAATTCTTTTAGCATTTTTCAAGTCCGACATATGTATGTTTCTGCGAAGCTATATATATAACTACCCAACAAAATTACATTTTATACATTATGAGTGATTAATTGTCAGTAAACATGCTAAAAATATGTAGACAAAATTTCACAGGCGAATAAATGCAGAGAGAGTCGAAAAATATTGAAATTCAATAGTTCTGTTTTCCGAATCTTTTTTTAGACTCATCTGCCATCGCAGCTGCAAAAAAAAAGAGCATTACCGATAAAAACCGCAAATCGTATCTGAAAATAACGACGATTTATGTGTGTGACACAGTATGTCGTTGCCCTCAGAAGCCTTCGATTATCAATTACGTAATTGACATTACAGACTGCCGTGTTGCATTGTCGGAATTTCATTCGAAATGAGTTCATCGCACTTCGCAGTCGAAGTCAATCTATATATACGAATCTCGCTCACGGACGTAGACGAAATCGATTTTATCTGCAGCAGCGTATAGGACTCTCCCTTTCCCTAAGCTATTCTCGTCTTGGTACAGCCTTACTTTAATATAGTTACAAAAAATAACGCTCTGTTATATCTTTAAAGGAACTCCCTGCTTGATATAGTCAATTGTCTCCGAAGATTTCGCTGAGATACAGATTAAGCTTTTGATCCCTCCTTGTCTTGAACTCTCTGCACGTGGAGCCGCTTGTGATCCTTCCGGTACTTCTCGATCGTCAATTCGGCGTCGCTGGCGCTCGACAGGCTCAATGTCACCGGATCCAAGCTCGCTGCCAGCTTTAAATACGTCTCCTCCATCTCCTTCGTGATTTTCACCTCGTAATCTACATCCTTCTTGCGAGAGTCCTTCGGCAACACCTCGTCCAACACGTCGAACGTTATGAGATTTTCGCTCTCGTCCTGTTCCATACATTTCGATAAGGTGTTAATATTGCTGGGCACGTCGTTTTTCATAATCTCGCTGAAATCCTCGATACTCTTCGGCACATCATGAGCCGGACCTCCGTCCTGCTCCGAGGAGTTGCAGACTTTCGTCAGAGAATCGTTCGGATACGCGGAAGACAGACCGTGGCTCGCGACGTTCTGCGTGCATTTGGTCTTATTGCTATCGTGCGACACGGAATCGTCCTCCGCACACATTTCCACGGACGACTGCACCCATTCGGCCACTCGCTGCAGCTGATTGTCCTGCAAAAGCACCGGCGGCGAATTGTCCTCGCTGCTGGTCGACGTCGAGCGCTCGGAATCAGCTCGAGACGCCTTCTTCGCGTGCACCAGGGCGGTGTTGGTCTTGCCGCCGCCGTTGCTGCTGTACAGCATAGTCTTGTAGTGGCCGGCGTTGTCCAGGAGAATGTTCTTGGAACCGGGTGTGACGCGCACCAGGCAATTTCGCGGTCCGCTTACGCGGCCCTGGCTCGAGTTGGACTTGGCGTTCAAGTTGAAGGCGCCGCCGGTCAGCGATTGCGTGACGTCGCTGCAGCTGCTGGATGGATCGGAGCTGGAGATGACCATGCTGTCGCTGCTGAAGCTTGGACTGGTCGCCACTTCCGTCTGGCTGCCGTCATTGTGATTCACCGCGCTGTTGTCCGGGCTCTTGACCTCGATCAGGGTGAACTGCGCGGTGCTTCGTGTTTCCTGCCGTTCTGCCGACCGTTCGCGCCTACCGTTCTTCCAATCGCGGTCATTGATGATGTCGAGCTCGGTGCCGCGGTTCGCCGTGCACTTATTTTCGCGCGAAATCTCGCTCACCTCAGATCTCGTCTTTGTCCACTCGTTCTTCCACAGCCTGTCGTTGATGATGTCGATGTGCGTCTGTTCCTTGTCGACGCGCGTCGGCTCGTGATCGACGAGTTTCGGCGTTGGAGCGAGATTCCTCTCGCTCTTGTTCGAATGCCTCGCGGCGGATTTGCCGTCGACCAAGCAATCGCACTTCTTGTTGCTGTTGTTCCTGAGCTTGAACGTCCTATCGAAATTTATTCTGTTTAGATTATTCAATTTCGGAAACGACGGCGAGTACTTGCTCTCGTGATTCTGCGCCAAGTTCTTATTCGAGCAGATCTTCGTAGTGGCGCAGTTCTCTTCCGTCGTACAGTCCTGCTCATTTCTGTTGCATCTGCCGATGAACTTGTCTTTGATACACGGCGCCGAGGACGCATACTTGGCGCAATCGCCGTTCACGTGATGATGAATCTTATCGCCGTTCTCGTTGATCTCGTAGAAGACCGTGTGCGTCGCGAGATTTGATTGATTCAGTTTTTCCTTGCCCTGATGCTTCTCGCCATTCAGCACACTATCCGACACTTGCTTCTCGACACTGCGTGTGTGCTCGTCGGAGAAGAGCACGTCGGGCATATAGGTCTGTGTTTCCGCGTCCACCATGAGAATGCTTCTGTGACATGTACACGTCTCGCAGTGCTTGGCGAAGATTCTCTCCTTCTCGCGGTCCTCAAGTACCTTCGCCATGATAGCCGCCGACACGATATCCATCGGCGGCTTGCTGTCATCGCTGTCGTCGTCGCTGTGCTTCTCCACTGTCGGCTTCGTGATATTGTACACCATCGCCGTCGGTGGAAATGTGGATATCGGCACGGTAATGCTCTTCACGTCCGGCTGCGTCACGTCTTGCGTGGAACATCGCTTCTGCGCGACGTATGTCCGTACTTTGGCTTGAACTTCGGAAGGCAGCTGCAATAATTCAAGAGAGAACGTTAAAATTTTCTATTCCTTTTAGTTGCAATTAGATTTTTAAATATTAATTAAAATACTTTTTTTTAATATCTTTCTATGTCAACTAAAAAAATGTCTTTAAAGTGTCACACATTAAATTATATTCCGTGCATGTTAATATTTTTTTGTTATTCTATTTTAAAGGACCAGAGAAATATTAGTAAATATTGGTTTTATTAAGGAAATATCCAGTTTTTAAAGCGCAAAAGTTCACGTTCGTTTCATCATACTTGTAAAATACAGTAAACATGGAAAATATACACACATAAATATGTATGAAAGTGTATATTAAAGTTTATCTACGCTTATGTAACACTGTTGAGGCGTAAAATAAAAGTGAGATATTACCGTGACATAAACATGTGAAAAATGTCATTGCAACATTCCAGTATGCCTCAATAAAAAGTATAAAATTTATATGTTAAATGAAGTGGAAAACATCTGTTATCTTAACCCAATTTTTAAGCGAGGTCGTTGAATTTATTTGGTGTGACATCTTACCGAGTCGTATTTCTGGCCTACAAAGTTGGAAGGTTTGCACTGCAGCAACTGGATAGCCAAGCTAACATCGTTTCTATATTTTTCCTAAAAGAAGTATATATCTTCTAAAGTAAAAATCAGAGAAACACTTAACTTTACACGCTGTATAAAAGTGGAATGCTTACGTTATCTTGAGTTAATCGATGAATTGTGTAATTTGCGTCCGCTAATCTGTGAGACAGAGTTGCTATGTCCTTTGTGAAGGCACCCTTCTCAGTCTCACATTTGTCCACGATTCGCAGCAGCTTGTCCTCGAGACTTTGATTGACCTTCTGAACTCTCTTGTGCGCTTCATGTAGACGTGAATACTTCTCCTGCCATATTAACAGTTCCTCCTTCATGGAAGCCAATTCTCCATTTGGAAACTTATCAGCCTCGTTCAAAAACTGTGTCTCCATCGTCACAATATGGTTGTCCCTCTCGAGTAGACGCTGGCGCAAGTTCTCTATCTCCGCATGCAGATGCATGTCACAATGCTGCTGACTATCTTGGCTACAGGTGCCGCATTTACAGCCACATTCCTGTATTGACATTATTTGATGAGTTTACGATAAGAATATAGCAGGTAAACGACATTTTATAGCACAACTGATAGAAGAATTAATATTTACATTAGACATAATATCGCACAAACAGATACAATAGTACAAACAGATACAATAGTGACAATATTTAAAAACACAATGTATATATAAATGGTAAATAGATTCTGATGCAAGCATTATTTGAAGAAATATATTTATTTAAAAAATTAAAATTATATTTAAATACAAATCAATGTAATTATTACAAATTATTATAAACCATTTTATTGGCGCACAAAGAAATGAATAATCAAAAATAGCAGACTTCACAAAAACTTAAATGCATTCCAATGCAAGTTGTGACATTTCTCAAATCATCACGCGTGACATTCGTGTCAATATAGGTCTCGCGTCAATAAATCGTTCGAAAAAAATACACTGCAACGAAGAATCAACGTGAATCAAACCAGGCGATTAAAAGGCTAATGAAGACAATGGAAAGCCATTCCTGCTGCTAAGACACAAGATTTCAATCTTCGAACTATCGTATCAGCTGTCTATCGCCACGTTGACAAATATTCCGCGGCAGGCTGTAATCGGTGCAGATCATCCTCGGCCACATACCTTGCACTTCTCCGCCATGGTGGATCGCTCCGCTGGAAATAATCTCGAGAATAATGCAAAAATATCGTCCGACGGCGCGACTACCACGGTGCTGTTGGTGCCTCATAACCCTGCTTTCCTTCCACGGTGTCCGCGATTATGAGCGAAGTGCTGAGTACGTAGCCGCGTCGTTGCGCTCGTTGCGATGACGCTTAATCGCGCGCACTGACGGGATTCGCGGCACGGCCGAGCATTTTTAATGCGAAGACTGACAACTCGCGAGAATGTCCCACGTCCCGTCGTCGCCACTCTTCCCGTCCAAACCCCTGTCGTCTGCCGCACGGCCAGCAGGCCAGCACGAGCGTCTCCAAACAATACCGTGCCATGAATCTTGAGCACCCTTGAAGAAACTCAGGAGTGTAACGATGACAAGCAACGGTAAACAATTTTTTAGTGAAAATCGTAAGAATATTTTAAATAATTTGTAACAATAATAAAATTGGACAGAATGATATAAATTAATATACAGAATAATAATATAAATCAAAATGTACTTAAAACATGTTAAGTGTATGCCAACACTTGTTATTTTATCAATTATTCATTAATATTAATATCATTACTACTATTATGATTATTTTTATTGCTAACATATTGATTTAATGTTAATATTACTATGAATATGAGAGCATATTTGCACTATTTGATATTACTGTTATATAAACGCTGTTATGTAAACATATAAATATTTAGTTATATTAGTTTATATAAATTTTGCAGATAAATATTTTTTTTATTTACGTGAATGAAAAATAGGGATGATACAGATAGAAATGCAGATTGATTTGCAAAAGTATTTATTAAATGTGTATTACATCCCCATACATGATTTTAATGTAATTATAAGTCGTTAATGGCGTTAATACAATCATAATAACATTAAATGTTCACGATATTGCGTCGAATACAATACTTGAAAAATTGTCGAATCAAAGTGTGTCTGTGTGCTGTAATTTTATAGAAAAAATCGTCACATTTTGAAATTGGATTTGCAAATGTCGTCGATCGTAATTTGTAATATAATTTATATATTAAAGTTAATTTTGTCTAAATGTACAGGATATTCGAGTAAAAGCTAACTTTACTGTTTTACTGATCATCAACGTTGACCAATGTTGCTTTCTTCCTATTCGAAAAATACTTATCGAGAATACACAGGTTGTAAAATGCATCACTTGATTTTCAAATAAATTTCTTTTTTCTCTTTAAATGAATATCAGTATCTTCAAAATGGAACAATTAATAATTTTTTTTTAAATAGAATAGAAAGAAAAAATATTATACATTCAAGTGTAGCACATTTGTCTTTACAAACATTAATCAATATAATTTCAAACTTTTATAGTTTTATTTAAAACATTCATAAGTAATTTATTTTAATAAAGTTAACTGTGAATTTAAACATCATAGTAAATGTCATAATTCAACGTGTCATAATAATTGTCATAATAAGTATCCTAAGTGTTATAACAAGTCATATCTTAAAATCTTTTAGCTCGTCAAATGTCAAATGTCAAATAATTAAAATATAGATTACATCTCCAACAAGAAAAGAATACGAGTGAATGTTTCTAATACAAATAACCGCAAATAAAAAAAAATAAATATTGAATTCTCACCAATGAAACATTGAATGTTTGCTGTTAATTTTAGTGAATAATTACTCGCAAATATTTTTCTCAAACAATCCTGTGTACGCACGTGTAGTATTTGTACAGCATTTATGTATATGTACAGGATGCGACAATGGTCGAGCGCTGATCAGATAATAATCACTACCGACAACAATGTTAAAACTCTGGTGCAGGCTGCAAAAACAAAGGCACCACAAACACTTGCCTTATTTAAAACAATATATCTTTTTCTTTGTATACAAATTAGATTATTTCTTTTTCGCGTCATAGAAAATTTTTGTATAATATGAATTTAAATGTATATGTAAGCAAGTGTATATATATGTATTTATATATATATATATATGTAAATATATATATACACATATATATATATATATATTACATATTCATGAGATCTTAAAGTAAAAAATAGTAAATAGTCAATGATCGCTAGATTGTAACAGTGCTATTAATAGCTTGTACTACGATATTTTCTAATGATAAGATCAATGAGTTATGATAAAATTAAATAAAATAGCGCTTAAAAATAATCATTAACTCTTGATTGCGTTATTTTAATATTTTTTTTATGATAACTGTCAATCATTGATTTCTTTTTATAATTTTTTTATGAAATGCTTATTAAACTCTTATCCTTGAAAATATCGTCGTATTACATTCACGTATTATTAGCCTTAGAAAAAAATTCTATTTAAAAATCATTCCTTTCTCGCGACGAGATTTGAGCGAGATTTGTAACGCCTTCAATTTCGCAGACCGCATTTGCAAAATTACACCATAGAATCGTAGAACTACACACGACAGAAAAAACCCTTATCTAATTTGCTGTGCAAATGGTGTCGAGTGCAGCCGAAGTCCTACACGACTCCGTCAATAATCGCCACCTCGTATTACAACGAATTAAAGCGTCGACATATCCTAATCGAAAAATTCCAAAGCGCTACGTTTACCTGGATACGTGAACGAACGTGCTTCAAGAGAAGATTTGATTGATAAGCACGTCGAAATCGTACATTCTCGTTTAGTCTCAATTGCACCATGCACAGTGTGTACAAAGGTATATTATTATCGTTGATCCGAAAGCATGTTGCTCCGATGATATATATTTATTACACGAAACAAAAAATATTGAATAGAGCTATATTATATATTTGAACTTATTGAAAAAATGCGAAAATTGGCGTAGTCATATAACAGAAGAAGCGAAACGTAAAAAGTAACAGATATCTTCCTTCTTTTCATTAGCAATTCTATCAACAATATATAATATATATAATTCTTTTAATTATTCATATATATAATACAATCAAATTAATAAAATCTTTTTTTTTAATATAATCTCGCAATCTTAAAAATAAATACATATAGCTTTCATGTGCTCAAATTTAGTAAATAAGATGTTTCTTTCAATTTATACTATGTACAAATTTACTTAAACTTTTTGTTTCGTGTCTTAATACAATTTTTATAAATCAATAAAATCTCTTACCGAATGAAAATAATTGCACACGCTATTCGAATAAAAATAATTGATCACATCGTTCATCAAGTTTCGCCGGGATTCGTCTTACATGTCGTAGAAAAATCCAATTAGTTCGCTTGTTAGCACTTTATCACAAAGTTCATAAAGCAGAAGGAAATCGAACCGTTTCTCTTAACATTCGCCCAGGTTTACAGTATAATTGCACAGTTATGCAAGAAGAAATATCCTTACAACATATGACACAGCAGTGGTAGGATATATGTACGTTTATATAGTGCTTTACCCTACAATCGAAATGATCCAAACATTAATACGTTCTTCAAACGTTACACGACAATTCAGCAAATCATCGATCACTTTGTTATGTTTCGTTACAGGAGAATTCGGTGTGAAAATATGAAATACGATTTCGCTTCCGTGAGAGAACGTTTGATGATATTGTGATTCAAATCAACGAGTCACGTATGTCAGTCGGGCGAAGAAAAGGCACCGATATTCATACCTTCACAGCGCGATTTAACACTTTGAATTCAAAAGTTTATGCGTTATGCAGCACTCTAAATTTAGAAATTTGCGTTTTACAATTAAGACTTTTTCATATTCATTCGTTGCATCGATCTTCTCTTCGATACTATGCATTATATATTTCTCAAATAATTTTCTCAAGAGTAAAATGTAAATGACAGAACTGTTCACAATCGAATTCAAAGTGCTAGAATGTTATTTTCATGAAAGTGGAATAAGTACAAAATGTTCTCACCACAAGCATTAATTCGCTTATCGTATTAATGTTCGTTCTGATCGCCTCGCGCATCGCATTCCAAATTTTCGATATAAAAGATATTTCTTCGTTCTCCTCGTTGAAAATGCTTGTTCGCTGCATTTTACGCTGTTGTGTACGCAAGACGTACACTCATCGTCGCTTATGGCTTTTGTATAAAGTAATTGACTATCTACTTATCATTAAGAAAAGGTACGTTGTCGTCGCATTCGGTTTCGCAATTTTTTCTACATTTGAACACAGTTACAAAGTTTGGAACATTTCAAATGTTGAGCATTTCTTTTATATATATATTATATGTATACATATACGTTTTATACATACATATTATATACACATATATATATGCATAATATATATATATGTGTGGTAAATCATATATATGTGTGTACATATATATCGTGCATATATATATGTCTATATATACACAATGTATATATATATATATATTAACTATGTGTATATGTATGTATATTTATATATGTATATATACATATATATACGTCATTATATTACTGTATATGTAAGAATATTATTAAAAGAATATGTCCGAATGCAATATTGCTTATATTCTACATACGTTGTAATATATTTATGTATATATATATAATATTTATAGACTTTCCATATATTCCTATATAACAATAACATAACTCTCTTCTGAATAAGTTTTAACAAATTGAACACAAAACTTTCTTAGGGCAAATTACATGCATTTAGTGAACGATGTTAACGGTAAAACGTGAAAGTACGGTATTACGCTTATATATGAAGCGACCCATTTCACGCCGACTTTCATCATAACGGAGACGCAACAGTCTGATTTCGCTGCAAATCATTTTAATTTTATCATTGTTATAACATTTGTTAATTACAAATAAAAAATTTCCTCAATATCAAGTAAATATATTGTTTGAGTTAAATTTGTTATTTGAATCTGTTGTTTTTTAATTAAATTCTACTTCTAGCAATCAGTTGGAAAATGAAAGCAACCGTGTTATAACTTATTTCTTTAAAAAAATTAATTAATTTTGCCTGAAATGAGTAATAAAATTAAAATTGTGAACGTCGAATACTTATGTCGAAACGAAATTGCGACATTTATGTTTCGCATATCTCCGTTATGCGAAAAGAAGGCCGCATGAGTCATCCTATACCTTTGATTAAAATGTCATCTAGTGCAGTCTACGTACTGACGGTTTCTTTACGATGCACATCTAAATTGATCCTCACCATTTATATATAAAGACTATTGTGTATCTAGCAACGGCAATATACCAGTCTGCGTAGCGAGAGCTATAATAAATCTACCATGCGATATTAAATATGTGTAACATACTCTCCGATCCCAATAATTCTACCTTATTACAAAAAAACATTAGTTTGAAAAATGTGTTATCTCTGCTATATCGATTAGCGTCAAATAAAAAAAATGCATCTCGTGCGTTTTAGAGATTTTTTTGACATAACAATAATAGGATAATGTGTACGCAATGCTGTGTTCTTCACGTAACAAAAATTGTTCCTTCGAGAAGATTTACATTTTATTGCACAATGTCGAATATCGACATCTCGGACTGAGTCTGCAAAGAATTTTGGCATTTCGTATTGAATACTGAAGTTGAAAAATAATAGGTTTTTGACAGCAACTTATCACTTTACGAGAATAAGAATAAATTAAAAAGATATGTAAATTATTGTAAAAGTTCTCTCTGATGAAATTAACTCTTCTAAATGTGTGACAACGAAAATAAAACGACGAAATAAGAACTTATAAAGTTAAACGAAACATAATAAACCGCAAAATTATACTACTGACTAGGCTAATTTCTTTTCTTACTATTTAAAGAAACGCAATTTGAAAATTGTCATATTTGAGAAGTATTCACTAAAAATTTGTCCGAGAAAATATACGCAAAATTAAAAAGAACACATGTAACTTATAATGAAATAAAAATATCTCGAAGAAACAACTCATTTTACAGAGTAATAACAATGAATGATGATAATTCACATATTTCCGTAGATTGTATGTATGTATATATATATGTATGTATGTATATAAAGATAATACCACAAACAAGAAACGCGTATTATCGATGAAGCAAAAATATATATATATACATATAAATAATTATATATTATTGATATCTCATAAAATCTCTCTAATATACATATATAAGGCCGAATGTACACTGACATGACATTGGTATTACGTTAACGCTTTGTTTAAACGCTCTAAGTCCGTAAGAAGCTGATACGCGAGCAACGTGAATAAAGTTAAAAATAGCGTGTAATTTGTAAGAATAAATTCGGCTCGTCTTCGCGTCGAACGAAAATAACAGCTTGTCTAACTGCACGTGGCAGCGCAATTAATCTTAACGTCGGCGCCGGCTCGTTAATCTAAACAGCAGCATTGATCATTGATAAAATCTCAATGACGGCAGTATCTTTAAATAACAAGTGTTGTGAATTTTTTCCCCTCCAAGCACAAAAATTAACAGAATGCATTCGCGTCACTCTGCCCTCCTTTCGCAGAAGAGCAGAACGAATTTGTTCTCACACTTTGTTAGACGATCTAATAATAATAATAATATTTAATAATATATCAAAAATTTGCCAACCAAAACAGGATTCTATTGAAATCACGCTTATCACCAATCACAATCATTTGTAAAATATTGTACATACATGAAACAGAAGAAGGTAACTTTACACTTCTCATTCTTCACTATTATATAGAGCTAATGTGCAAATAAAACCTATTTTCTTTACGACAATTATTAATCGTATTGAAAAAAAACAACTGTTTATAGTCCAGTTCAAATTAGACTATATAATTATAATTGGATTAACTTCGAGAATTTTGAAATCCGAACATTCTTTTCGGTATAAAATAAAGCACTGAAGTCTATCTGCTGTATTCCAAGGATATTAAACGGGAGATACGAGTAAACCAACGGGTTGAAAACATCAATGGCAAACTCGAGGAACTATGTTAAATGTTCAACAATGGTTCTGATTGTTGTCGTCAGACATGAGCCCTTATCATATATGACTCGATAAAGTAATGAATAAAATATAACGCGATAAAGCGTACTTCGTTTTACATCGAAAACAATGTCCATAGAATTTATTAAGAATTGAATTCCAAATTTTCCAAATTTTCCAAATTTTCCAAATTATTCCCTCAATTTTTTTCTTATTGAACTACTAAATATCCGATGAAATGCATCCGAAGAAATATCCGAAAGAATGGCATCACGCCGATTTAAATTACGCAATTTCGAGTACTCTAATAATGTAACAAAAAAAATGTACAATTGCACAATTTGGATTTGCAAGTAGAGAAGATAAACAATCTCTCAACTCCACGATACAACGTGTATTTTTCCAATAAATGTCCGTTTAAGTTCACTTGAAGAAACAAGCATCATGATATGACGCCCATTTTCATTTTGCGCACACTAATGCGTCGTTTAACTATGCTACTTTGAATTGTCACTAGTTTACCACGTTTACAAGCAACCTTGCATCCGGAGTTAAACATCTATTACTCCAATTTATCATTACACATACGTAATATGTAATAATGCAGTACCTTTTGTCATAAAAAATCGTAAGCCTTAGTCGTACTTCGAACAAGGTCATTTGTAATTACAGGATGGATAATTATCGTCACCGAAACGCGTTAACAAACCTGTTCCAGAATAGAAATCTCAACATATTTGATCTATGCATATCTTTATCGCAAATACAATTTTAATTAAAACGCTCTTGAGCTTCAATGTAAACATAGTATGATTCATCAAGCTGAGAAAAACAATATTTTTTTGCAAAGCAAACATATTACAAGTGCGATCACACTTTCTCCTATAAACATTTTTTTAAAGAAGAAACAGGTTTCTTAACTGATTTCCTTAAAGCGAGTTTTTTATACTTTAAGAGCAGCTTTGGGAGACCAGTGGTGAAAACGTGCGGGTCCTGCGGGATAAGAAGGCGGATGTACCCACTTGTTCCCCCGGTGGCCCATAAAGGGCGGCGGTGAAGGGCCACCGAGGAAATGCGGAGGCATTATATTGTACCACGGCTGGCTGATCGGATGAGGACCGTAACCCATGTTGAAGGAGTGACCGAACCACGAACGATTTCTGTTCACGTGTAGTCTAGGACTATTCAAATTACGCTTCCTACCTGTACCGTTATTGCTATGCTGTTGATTTTGATTAGCGGTGCTTAGCGGTTTTGATTTTGACTGTTGTTGCTCTGTGCTAGCGGTTAGAGGGGATTTCTGAAACATGAAACACACCGAGTTTATTTTACTACACAGTCGACACGATACGAGATACAAAAAAAGAATGTAAATAAACTCTGAACAGGATTACTGTGGATTCTTCAGCGTGTACTTGTTAAATCTTTTTTTCCATCCGTTTTTATTAAGGAACCATTATCTATAGTTTATATTTACATACGTTTTACATACATTAAGGAATTTAATTCGCTTCAATTTATTCTGAGAAAAACGTCTATTTAAAAAAATAATCACGTTGGAAGCACTCACCTGTATCTTGGTAGACCCCATATGGGCTTGCTTGTTCTCTTTCTCTGCATTCTCGTGACGGTCGTTTTGGAAGATGGGTACGGTGTTCTCTTTGTCTTCGAACGATGCCAGTGTGCAGTAGGATCCCTTGCTCTCACCGAATCGACAGCAGACCTCGTTAGGATCCACCCACAGCGTCAGTTCCACAGGCAGGTCCAAGTCTTCGTATTTCACTCCAGCGGCATTCGCAGCACTCTCCAGAGTCGCGTCCCGGCGATTGTGACCATTGACGCGAATACAGCGGTAGCCCTGGCCTTTGAACGGCTTGTCCGGAAACCAGTGGTTCTTGAAGCGTTCCGCCAACACCTCGACCAGGTGCCGTTTAAAGCAGTCCAGTTGATCGGGACTAAATTTTTCGCTTTTTTCGATCAGCTGTACTATGAACAGTACCGCCGCCTTGATCTCGTTGAGCATGTTGCCGCTGTCGTATGTCCGAATTACAGATCGTCTGGGTGCACCTCTCCTGATACCACAATAGCAAGCTCTCGGAAACTAAAGTACCATTCGCCCAAGCCACAGTGGAGCACATAGAGCCCTTCTGCACCGTTGCAGCGTTCAAATTCTTCAGAATCTATGTTTTCGGCGCGTATTGTCGGCGTCTTGATTGCACAACCTTGGTATCCTCGAAATTTGTCGCAACTATGTAATCCTTGTATTCCGCTAATGCTGCTAAAATCTATGCACAAATAGAAAAAAAAGTATGATTATCGTACATATTACATTTTGATATTATGTCTCGAGATTTTGAGCGTTTTATAATTCGATAAATAAGGTCGAAGAGTGAAATCAGATTTTAAAAATAGAAAAATAGCATTCGAAAAAGTGTAATCTAGCACATGAGTAGATTTGCTAATCAGCACACTCGCGACAGTAAATATAAGCGCATGAGTCAATGAGATCTTGATAAAAACTCTGATTCACCCTCGAAAATTCCGTCCACATGGCAGCGCTACGCCAGCACACTCGAAAAAAAAACTGGAACACGAGGTGCGTTCCACTTTCCAGCGAACTGACCGAACCGCTTAGAAACACTGTGCTGCGAGGCGCACCGTTTGTTTGTTTTTTCTCGGTACTTAGGCGAGAGCACGTGTCTCGCCGGACGGAATCAACGCGATCGATGCCGCACGGTCGAGGTAATGTCGTGTTATCGGCACGCGCGACGCGAACGATCGCACTAGCGCGACGAATCAGACCACAATATGTTATGCATGCGCGCGGATCAGGTTATGCAGCGTAATGGCACAGGCGAGTAGGTTAGGAAGAATCGCGTATTAAGTTACGAGGATGGCAGCTCGCATCATTCGCGCGAAATGCACCGCTGCTGAGCGAAAACGACTTTGGTTCTCTATATCGCGCGTTCCAGCGCGCCCGCGAGCTCCGTCGACGTGATGCGTACAATTTATGCCAGCTCATTGCTGTTGCTGCATACCAGGTCGCGGTTCACGAACAATTTTCCCTGAATCGCGCGAAACGCGTTTAATCGAGCGGCCGTGCATGTGACCGATGTGAGTCCGACGCTGCGCAAATTCCTTATCACGCTACTATAGCCACATTAAATCGATCTTACGTTCGGTGATGAAAATTTCGTGTACTGCTATGAAACTACTACGTCTTCTTTCTCTTTAAATAAACGTACCCGACCCAACACGTGTTACGTTGCACCAATGACCAAGGAGCATAGCTTTCGTATAGAAGTGCGTACCTTGGCAATTGCCTTCTCACAACTGGACAAATCCGCTTGTCCAATAATGGAGGATTCACACACTGCGTCCGATATCCAATAATAGAGCTTGTTTTCTAGAGGATGAAATATCTCTAACTAGAATTTCTAGAAAACAAGCTCTATTATTGGATATCGGACGCAGTGTAAATTCTCCATAAGTGACGTCAGATTGAGACCTGGGCATCGATCATGTAATTTTTCCCTAGGAGCGGAAACGTGAAAATTTCACAAATAGAATTGTCTAATTCACATAAAAGTTTTCATTTTTTACATGATCGATGATCAGGGGGTCGATTGTGTATCATGCAATGTAGTGAAAATTACAAAAATGAGCAAATTAAAAGAAATCGGTAAAACAAACGACTCCAGGATTCCCTTAAGGTCACCTAAAAATCACTAAAATTTTTAAATGGAAATCTCCATTTTTTGTTACATATTCTTATAGCTGACTTCGGGAGCTTTTTAGAACGCTATAAAGTTATTTTTCATTAAGAACTTTTCGAGTTATGAGGCTTGAAAGTTACTGTAGAGTAAGAGAGAAAGAGAATAAGGCAATGCACTTCGTTCTCTCTCATTAAAAAGGGACAAGGTAAACCCAGATCAATTTTATTAGCCAATCAGCGCACATACGATAGTGACGCTTTAAAAATTTACGAACTTGCCAATACTGCAAGAACGTATCTTACTGTTTTGTTTGGAACTTTACAGTATTAACTCAGCTGACAAAACTAAGCACACGTGGTTGGAATTGAATTTTAATTCGATTTGTGCTTGTGTATTTGCGTCTGCGGAAAATGTTAAACAGTCAAAGAAACGCGCCTAACATTCTAATAACAGGTATGCAATAATATTTATAATTTTGACGCAGAATTATTTAATATAAACTATGAATATTTGTTCAAAATAATCAATGTTTTTTAGGCACACCTGGCGTGGGCAAAAGTCTCATGTCACGTATGCTGTCGGAGAAAACCGATTTAAAATGGGTCGATGTCAGCAAACTGGCTACAGAGAACGCGTGTCTGGATGAGTTTGACGAAGAGTATCAATGCAGAGTGTTAGATGAAGAGAAGGTAATAATATGATCTTATCATATCAATTTTAGCCGAGATAGAATCTATAAGATATTACTTACTAATATTTCTTATAAAACATACAACTTAAACGTATTTCTTTAACATTATATGCTAAATGCATAAATCTTTGCATAATGTCTTTTTCTAGTTACTAAATGGAATGGAGAATCTTATGAACGAAGGAGGGAAAATTGTGGATTATCACAGTGCTGAATTATTCCCTGAAAGATGGTTTGACATTGTATTTGTACTCAGGACAGATAATACTATCCTATATGATCGACTCAAGGAAAGGGGCTATTGTGGAAAGAAACTGGAGGACAACATAGATTGCGAAATTTTCCAAACTATTCTTGAGGAAGCAAAAGAATCTTACAGGGAGGAGATAGTACATGAACTAATGAGTAATTCTTTAGAACAGTTGGCAGATAATGTACTTGTAATATGCCAGTGGGTGGAGCAATGGAAAATAGATAATCAGCAGAACTGAAAAGATGTGTAGCGGCTGTCAATCTGACTTACTCTCGTTTTATATATTTACTATTTTAATTAGATTAGATATTGTGTAAGCTACATATTCATTAAAAGCAAAAAGGTTGATTGATAAGATGCAATTGTATAAGTAGATATAATTTACAAAATTTATTGCTTAAAATCTGTACATTATACATTATTTTATACAGAAACAAATATTTGTTATTTGCAAAAGCTGCAATATATTTATTCTATTATACCTAAATCATGCTTTAGTTTCTTCAATCTATTGTCTATAGTATTGTAATATTTCATTTTTATTAAGATTTTTGTTGCTGTTTCAATATCTTCCTTGTTAAATGCATCTGCTACTTGCCTAAAAAAATTTTAAATGTGTTATTGAAAGAAATATTTAGTAGTATATTTAAAGCTACTAAAAATGAGCATTACATTGTCAGTGTATTAAGCAGTTCTTTAGATTCTTTGGCCAATTTCAAGATTTTATCTCTGTCATCCACTGCATTATCTATCTCTTCATTTCGCTCCATAATCTCCATGAGAAATTTTGGATTCAAGTTGGTAGTTCCTTCTGGTATTGATATACCTTTTAATTGCAACATATATAATCCTCTTTTTAATGGATTTGCCAATGTGCTATAAGCCTTATTTATTAGAGAGGACAAATTCTCTGAGATTTGTCTTTCTTTCTATTGACAGTTAAAACAAATAAACTTTATTTATTACAAACTTTACTTACAGGTGAGAATAGAGAATTTCAGTAAGCATAAATTAAAAAGTTTTTAACAAAAAATTATGTAATAAAATTCTCTTTAACAACACAAACTTGCCTCAGATTTGTTACCAAATTTGTCAGGATGCAGCATTTTCTGTAATTCCTTATACTTTCTGTGAATCTCCTCATTTACCACATTGTAATTCTTCTTGACGCCGATGATGTCAAAATAATTCAAGTTCTGCGGCAGTTCCTGCAACACTTTGCACTTCGAACAGAATAGGTCTGACTTGAACATGTAGTCGCAATTCCAGCATTTTGGTGGGCTGTCACTGCAGAATCGCAAAGCTCCCAAGGAGATCGTAGGTTGAACTGTACTTTTCGATGATGCATGATACGAATACAGCTTACGCTGCTGCTTGACCGGGCTTAACGTCCTAATGGACCTTTCGATGATTCTCGCGACAAACATTTTTTAATGCAATCTCATCATAACCTGCAAGGAGGATAATTCATAAGTTCAGTGAAAGTTCCTGCAACGCTTGCGTAGAAAGACATTGATAAAAATATAATATTTTTATAGTATCATGCAAAAAGACGGACTATTATCTCAAATAAAAAAGAATAGAATTAATCGAACGGATTATTTCTTTTGCAAGTACGCGCCAACGTGGAGTATCTCGATCAATTTCGATTACTCGAAATTATTTTAATCATTATTGTTACGTATATGAACTAGTTATTAAATCAGCTGTACTAACATGCTAACTGGATTCCTAATTATTTCAACGATTTGTGTGCGATGGCTCTTCGTAAAGCAAACGAATCTCATCTAGTTTGACAGTTCTACTCGACGTCTTCGTACCTGTTCTATGCTGCACTTGAAACGAGACAGGCGCTGTTGAAAGCCTTTAGCGAAAAGGAAAGAGCAAAAGTTCGGAGCAGCTCAAAGAAAGTGTGTGCAGCACACGTAACGCAACATATGATCCAACTTCGTTTTTAAATGCATGCAGAATGCGACGTGATCCGTGACAAGTGCGATGCATTTTGTTAGCAATCGGCCCGACTGATTTTTTTGTCGGCTGATGCACGCAATGCACGATACGATTATCGCGTATCACAAGGTGTGCGAGCTGTTGTCTGAGGTGGTATTCGAATTTCATAACTTCCGCCTCGATAAAGCGTTATCAGACCGTATCAACGCGCGATGACGATGGCTGCTTTTTGGTTAATTCGAGCAGATGGTCCATGGTAATTGTATTTAACTTACAATATCGCATGTTGATTTGACGAGTGACTAGAATTATGAACCCAACTACGAATCGCGGTTACGAGAACAACGTGTTTTGCAGAGTTTGACGAGAGCTAGAAACTAGCGCGAGTGTCCTTGGAGCTTTCCTTGAAAACTCTATATTGAAAAACAAAAAAAGATGGGCGATCATCAGCAGCAGTTGAGTAATTTAATCAAATGGTTGAGCACTTTCGACCTCCAGGCGCCACACAGTTCCGCGGATGACATAAGCGATGGGGTTGCCCTGGCGGAGGTTTTAACGCAAATTGCGCCAGAATGGTTCTCAGCGGTCTGGAAAGCAAAGATTAAGACTGACGTGGGTGCAAATTGGCGTCTCAGAGTGAGTAACATGAAGAAGATCGTGGAGGCCGTGATGGAGTATTACATGGAGTGCCTGAACCAGCAGCTGTCCGGCTACGTCAAGCCAGACGCAATTAAGATCGGCGAGCACTGCGACAGTGACGAGCTGCGCCGTCTGCTACAGCTGATTCTCGGCTGCGCTGTCAACTGCGACCAAAAGCAGCAGTATATCACCAGAATGAAGAGCATGGATGAGACCGTGCAGCGAGCGATAATGCAGAGTATACAACAGTTGGAGAGAGCGCTGAGCCCAGGCACCAGTATTTCCAGTGATTCCATTGCTTTCAACATTGAGCCTATGGAGCTGGACGTGGCCGATGGAGCCCAGCAGAGACTCTACGCAGAGCTTCAGGCCACAGTGGATATAAAGGATCAGCTGGCGCAGAGATGTCACGAGCTCGATCAGCAGCTGTCTTTGTTGCAGGAGGAGAAAACCGCCTTGATTGCGGAAAATAAGAAGCTCCAGGAACGACTGGACGAATTTGAGAATCCGGAGGACTCTGGTTCTATCCTAAAGTATTCTGGATTGCGGAAGCAAGTGGAAGCTCTGAAGGATGAGCTCTTCAAGATGGAAACATCGAGGGACGATTACAGATTAAAAGTGGAGCTGTTGGAGAAGGAGGTGTTGGAGCTACAGTCGAGACAGGAGGATCTGCAGAAGGCGGCTGACGAAGCAAATCACCTGAAGGACGAAGTGGACGCCTTGAGAGAAACAGCGGATAAAGTAGCCAAGTATGAAATTACGATCGAGTCATATAAGAAGAAAATGGAGGATCTAAGTGACTTGAAGAGGCAAGTGAAAATACTGGAGGACATGAATGTCGAGTATTTGCAAGTTAAACTCGATTACGAAGAGGAGGTAAAACGCACGACAATGTTGCGCAGTCATCTGGAGGCGTGCAAGCAGCAGCTCACGGAAGTCCATCACAGACTGGACGAGCAAAGCAATAAATATGATCGATTGGAGTTCGAAGGAAAGAAGATGGAGGCGAAACTGGGTGCTGTGCAAAGAGAGAGAGACCGGCTGATCATTGAGAGAGATGCCCTGAAGGAGACAAACGATGAGTTGAAGTGCACACAGCTACAAGCCGCCGAGAACGTAGCGAAATCCAGCGCCGACAGCACCGGCGTCGCCGGCACCGAGATGATTCCGCTCGAAGTCAAGGAAAAGATTCTCTCACTGCAGCTGGAGAACAAGATGCTGAAGATGAAGTTAACGGGCAACGAGGACAAGCTGCCGAGCGTGCAGGCGTTACTCGAGGACTCCGAGGAGCGTCTGAACACGCTGCGAGGACAAAACCGTAAAGCGAATCAAAGGATAATGGAGTTGGAGACCAAACTAGAAGAAGCCATGGGTAATCAAGTGACTGGTGACAACAAGACCGACAACGTGGGCCTGAATCAGAAGGTGTCTCAGCTGCAGGACGAACTGCGAAAAACGCAAACTGAAAAGGAGCGACTGGCCTTGCAGCTGGAAGAACGCGAAGGCGCTCTGCAGACTCAAAAGCAGAAGGTCTTTGCTGTTCAAGAGAAATTAACTCGGAAGGAATTCGAGAACGCCGCGCTCGAAGAACGCTACAAGAAGTACATCGAGAAGGCCAAGAGCGTCATAAAGAGTTTGGACCCGAAGCAGAGCAATTCTACGCCGAGCGAGGTCGTCGTGTTGCGCAATCAGCTATTGGAGCAGCGCAAAATGATCGAGGACATGGAGCGTTCCATGAAGGAGACCAGATTTTTGCGAGAAATGGAGGAGAAGCTGATGGTGACCGCCTTTCACAGACTGGGCTTGAATTGTCACAGGGAGGTGATAGATCAGCGTCTCGCGGCGCTCAGCTCGGGACAGGGCCAGTCCTTCCTGGCCAGGCAAAGACAACCCTCGACGAGACGACATCCACCTTATAACTCGAAATGAGGGCGCGAAAAAGCGAGTCGACGTCAGGCTTAAGTATTACGGAGTAAAGTGGTAAATATATAGTCATTTGAGATAGTTTGTCACAGTGCAATAAGTACGATTCTCTTATATTTTTATTTGCGAACTTAATAATCGTGAACTTTTATCAATCACTTCAGATTGAACATCATTCATTGATATCTGTGACTCAACATTTAGATATTACATTAATCTCTCTGTTGCCTCAACTGATTCTATCTTTCCCGATATAGATACAATTCGAAGCAAAAATTAGATATCTCTACTTTTTAATAAAATTGTAGTTTTTTATAGTCTTTCTCTCGTCTCGACAATATAAAAACATTACAAATTGTAAACGAACGAAAGCCCTCCATTAGCTGTAAACTTTTAGATGTATATTCAGCCATTCTGTCTTCCTGTAAAATTATCAAACAGAGATATCTAATTCTGATATTTGATTCTCTACAAATCCGATCCTCGTCCAAGTAGCGTTACAATTTTCTGGCTATTAGAGATGTGCTAACATAAATGTTCCTGTATCTTTAATGAATATATAAAAAAAATAATTTTGCTCGAACATCTCCAATGGCTGGAAAAGCAAATACAAATTTTTACATACTTTCACATTTTGCGTCTATATCGTAAATATTTACCTTATTTATTTTACTTAGATTGAGCTCAAATGAAAGAATATATATATGGAATCAATTATGGAATAAATATGATTATAAGACACAAATTGACACAATACAGTTTTGCTTCGCAATACGCTAGATATTGCACAAAACGTTGAATATTCTGTAATATGAATAGATGTTATTCCATCTAGTGAGGTTTTTAATCCATACTCGCAATGAACCATTGTAGATTCGAATATATTGTATACTTTTATAATGTTGACGCTTACATCGATAGGATGATTGAGACTATACGTTTATTGTTATTTGCCTTGTGCAATAGTACATAATGAAATTAACCGTTGTAAATATAATGTACATGCTATATATACAACATATCTCTGGGTTTAGAAAAATAATATACATATTACACAAATGCATAGAACTTATTCATATATTTATATCTTTGTAGTCGGCACGTTAATGTTACGACTAACATAATTTATTTGATACATTTTATGTTACTCCTATTATATATCCATTTTACAATTCTATTTTACAATCCTCCAAATGCATGCTGCAGTGAAGAAAACAGTTGGAAAACCGATGCATGGAATGTACATACAGAGAGATGAATAAATATATAAATACACTATAATATATGACACATTATGGAAGCAAATTTTATCAATACCTACATATAATTATGTATCAGAAAACAAATATCCTATTATAATAGAATATTCATAATACTTGTTAAAACTCCGACTCGCTGTCATAATTCATGATTCTTTTTTAACGGCAAGATTGTTCGACAATCACTTAATTTATATGTATCTTAACTTCCTGCTATTATCTAGTTTGCTCATTATATGAATACATCTGTTTTACATGTCATGTCTGTATGACGGAAATACAAAACAAAAAAAATGCTTCGGAAATAATATTTGTTCCAATTCAAACATTTCAGTTTCAGATCTCGTTTAGTTTCTATATTTTAAGGATTTATTTATTTTTGCATCTCATGTACTTGTTTTCCAAAACACCTTATATAATTGGAAGTATTATTTATAATTATTTCCCTGAGTTTGTAACGCTATAAAACATATCAAAATAGAACGAATATTTCTATAAATTTCAATATATATGTATATATCGTGATGCTCTCGCAAGTGTGTGTTTTGCTTTCGTCTAATAGCTTAACTAGTTCCTACATAATTGTAAACTTAAACATGTACAACATTGACTAATCTTGCTATTATTCATAAAACATAACACAAATTTTAAACATGAATTTGGAAAATAAATCAAATTTTGATAGAAATAATAAATTTGAAAAAAATCGATCTAAAGTAAAATGTAAATAAATCTTCAGCACATTTCATTAACGATGAAACCAAACTTTTGAAATTGGAATATAAGTACTTACTGGATAAATATTTAGTTTTCATGATTGAACTGCTGAGAGTTGCATGTTTTCAATCATAACTTGACGTTCATGATGCAATTTATTAATATACATAGATACTCGATTATTGTGCGTGATTGGTTTTGAATTTTGCATTTTTGCAATTCTTTGTAAATCAGGATAACATTTCTGATAATAAAAAATTGCACTAAGAAAATCCCAAAGACTGAATTCAGGCCATAATACATTGGTAAAATAGACACAAGCATCAGAGATCTAAAAAGTGATTCAAATAAAGTTATTTTAGATGCAGATAATATTTTAGATACAAACGAATATAGAATAAAATATGTCTTCTCACTTGCCACATCAGGAAGTCACTGATTCGAAGTTCGCCTGAAGTACGAATTAACAAATCTGGATTTGGAGATTTGTAAGTATACAAGCAATTAGAAATCAAATCTTCATTCACATCTTCCGGTAAAATTTCATTGTACTTCACACCTTTTGTTATATCTTTAATTGCATGAGTAATTTCATCCTTTGCTGTGGTCATATTAAAATGATGTTAAAAATTTTTTTAAAATAAAATTTAAAGAAACATCTTACAATGTTCATGCTTACATGTATAAGCAAAAGCAACATTCAAAAATGCTTTATTATTGTCCTGAGTCATGATCATGGCTTCAGCGATTAATTTACACATATCTTCTGGAAGTAAAGATAAATTACCAATCACACGAATACATACACCATGTTCCATCAGTTTGTCTCTGGAAACATTACATTTGTAAGTATACAATTATTCTGTTCCATGATTGTGAGGCATAATTGAATATCCTTAAAATCTCATACATACTTTTCTTCTAAAAGCCTTTTAAATTTTTGCTTGGCTAGTTCCATAAGTCCATCAACTTCCTCTTTAGAACGTTTAAAGTTCTCTATACTGAAAGCATAAACTGTGACTTCTGTAATACCAAGGTCCATGCACCAACTTAAAGTTTCTGCTAGTTTATTAAATCTGTAAATAGAACATAAGAATATAATGGACTGTGGTATCGATACGAACTGTCTTTAAAAATACGTACCCTCTTGTGTGCCCCTCTACTTTCGCCACTTTCTGCTTATTCGCATAACGTCTATTACCGTCCATTATAAATGCTACGTGTCTCGGCACTTGACCGGTCTTGACAATCTTTAAGATTAAGGATTGAAACCAGTTTAACGTGCGCTCTCTTATCCATGACATTGTAGTTTCAACAATCTTACATAGACGATTGTACAAAAATAAACAGTTTGCTCACAACTGACTGCCAAACTTGCTGTAGGGCAAATAACAGTTAATTTTTACTGATGTACATTTATAGAAGTACGTTAGTTTTCTAACCAACGGTGAGCACAGTAATTGGTTGTTAGTCATCGTCTAACCTTTGTACGAGGACTGAAAACTTATTTGTGACTTTACACTTTGTTTTCGCGAACATTTTAATTATCGGCTTTATCTATGCACGTTAATTGCGTCCGATATTCTTATCGTTGTCCAACGATGCGTCTTTTTTCCGCAATTTTTTCGCAATCGTCAGGTACTTCTTAACGAAAATGCATTTCCGACACTCGCGTGCATGCAAGGTTATCTCTCTTATCGTACTATTGCATGAGCCGGATCAACTATCACGGCGACTCTCGACGGACATTTCCCTTATCGCCGGTCGCCGAAACTAACCAAATATTAGGGATGCCCGGTGTCATGCTCGACGAAAATCGAGCGGAACTAAATGAAGCGTCATGTGTTTTAATGGGTCCGACGTGACGTATGCAAAGAACATGTGATGCACGCGATCTTATCCGGCATCAGCCGATGCATCCGCGACTGCCATCTTGCTATATCGCTTCCCCTTCACTAATTTATGCAAAGTGAACGTTATACAAATAGAAACTCGTCCTGCAATGGTATCATAAATAGCGTATATTTATAATACAACTTGGCAAAATGAGGCGAATTTACTACGTGTATATGAGTGTGTGTGTATATATATATATATATATATATTGTACTGTGTGTTACTGCATGCTATATTTTCATCGCTTCTTGCGATTGCGTCATACGCACAGAGCGATATATTTTATATCTATATATATATATAAGTATATATAGTCTACATTTTTTTATTTTAAAAAATTTTTTAGTTAGTAATTGCAATAAATGAAGCAGTTATTTTTAAATATTACAAATATGTGCATGAACTTTTCTTTCGACCGTTTGAGAACAAGTATAATTGTTTCTAATGGACAGAAAAAATTTTTATTTTGAAGAATATATTTTTCAGTTATATGCAGCTGAACGTATTCTTTTTATTTTCATCGCAAATATCAATTATTCGTGTCGTATAACTGTATTTATTAAAAATGTACAGCAGTTTGAGCAATATAAATGATAATAGTATTCTGTTATGTATAAGTTTAATACATAATTCTTCGATTATTCTTGCAGAAGTCTTCATTGATCATCGCGAACAATTGTTATCGAATATTTTTTGCAAATTGCTTAAATCTGCTCCTACAAAAGGAGTGTTAGAAGCTTATCGCGATAAATTGTACAATATTCATATACTTACTCATGCGTATCGTATTTTTATCATTTTCTGTCTAAAAAATTGGCCACGAAAACGTAATTGTCTTGATAAAATCTTTAAATTGGACATTGCTCGCGCGAGACGTTTTCAAGCATGCCGCGTTCAATGGTGGATTCATCAGTTTTCCGATAGGTTCCGGATGATGTAATCTAATCGATGGTCATGTTTCCACAGCGCTATGTGTAATATTATTTGCGCAGCCTCGCAACTCAATAAAGTTATGGCAGTCAATCGGCTCGTTTGACGGAAAAAACTAAGGATTGCGAGGAAGGAATGTCGAAAATTCGAGGTGACGAAACCGGAAAGGCCCACATAGCTCTTCTTACACGCCTGTCCGCAGGACGGCGCGGCGAGCCACTATTGGGGGACTACTTTGTGCTGAGTAGGCGAGTGCAGTGCGTATTGCGACCAGCTCCAGCGAGAGAAATGAACACCGCGGTGGTTATCGCGGCGCTATGAACCGTAAATCCGATGACTTGTCGTCGCTCGTGAGTGAATAGGAATCGATTAGATCGGCCGGGATGGAGGCCAGCGCGTCCAGGAACGAATCTGTGATCGCACCAGGTAACGTAGAACACCGTAATGCGTATCGGAACGCGAGCTTGTGTGCCGTTGTACCGTGCGTTCTGTGCACTAAAGCCCCGTGCATTCTCCCTTCACAGAGTTGTACTTTCTGATCGCGAAGTTTCTGGCGTCGGGGCCCTGCCACGAAGCCGCGAGGGTAAGTAGAAAGATCGAAGCACAGCCGATGCGCTTAGCCGTACGCTAGCGCAAACCTCAACGTCGTTTTGTTTCAGGTGCTGAAAGAAGAATTGCAGACTGCTAAGGTAAGCTTCGTCGACCGTCTATACACTGTACACAAAGCGTGTGGCTGGTCCACATGGTTCGCACGTGGTTTCTACTTGTCAAAACATCAGAATCTCAAGGTCGCTGACCTTGGTGGCCGCGTAGTATCGCGCCTGCCTCTGATACGCGATCGGTTCATGCCGATCGTCACCGATCGATCGGATCGATCTTTCTTCCCGCATCCCCCTCCCGCTAGTTATCTCTATAGATTTTAGATCGCATCTTTTGTTCACAGGTATTGCCGCCGCGACTCGACTGGAAGGGAAGGGAGTTTAGCCAGCCGTTCGAAGAATTGGTAAGTATGGTTGCATGGCGACATGGCGATCGGCACAAGGCGAGCGTTTGCTCGACTCGCCTCGTGACTCGAATGCGCGCGTCCTGCTGAGACGCGGCCGTCCGAGCGTTGCGTCGCTCCGCATCGCAAGGTGGTTCGATGAAATAATCGGGTGCCCCCGTCGATTCGCGGGGGGTGCTCTACCCCTTTTAATCCCATCGTATTCCGCCCTTCTCCTCCGCCATGATTCCTCTCGCGTCTCTCCGTCTCGCGTGACGGAGTGAAAACCGTACGTTGTGCTCCCCCACCACCGTTGTCCATCGACCAATCGCCGCGCACTTCCGGCCATTTCGCGCAAGCTGATCAATGAATATAGATGCCCGCGCCTTATTTATAGAAACTGGTCTCGTGCGTGATGGCTAGACTACGCTGATTGGCTAACTGCGGGAACTACTTTACTGTTCGAATTTCTCGCGCGAATACATTTTTAGTTATTTGACACGCAAATTATTACAATTTCGATTTTTCTTGGTAATTAAGGTCTGAAACAAAAACTTTCATTTTGATTTCTTTTCAGTACAACTTTCTTTTTGCATAACATGTAAAATATTTGTTTTTTTAAATTTTATATTTACTACAGAGAATGTGGAAGCGTATGAAAGAAGATTGTATGGGAGAGAGTAGGTAGTGAGTTTATTTTCTCCAATATTTAATTGGTTCCTGATTGGATGTTCAGTAATCTTAAAACTTTTTAATATAATATATTTTTTAAATGCTTACAATTTATTTCGATAATAAATTTTGCTTAAGAATGACAACTTATTGCAACAATTTTTTTAGGAGAGAAAATATCCTCACATTGCGCCAAATCATTTGCTGCAAATATGTGCGAGGATTGGACCAGTGTTAGAGAAAGAAGTGGCACCATGTATTCCTGGAGCAATATCGCTCTTGGGAGCAGGCAGGCAGTCGTTGCTGCGTACTTGCGAAGGTATGAAAATATAATAAAGGTACCTGCTTAATTACATTCTTAAACATCTTCATTTTTTAATGAAATACATAATACATCTTAACATTCCACTTTTGCAGATCTTACGCGCCAAAAACGCAGCATCTTCGATTATTCCGGAAGGTTCGGTGGAAAATCCTTCCTGGGAGTACCTTCCAACTACACTGTGCATAATATAGGTGAGAAGAGCGACAATTGTGTGCTACTTGTATCTTTTGCGTGCATTTCAACAGCATTGTTCTAACATTATTATTTTCTATGTAAGCGTCGATATATAATTTTGTCGTGCATATATTTTTGCCCAATAGTACGTGTACTTCAGGGACGTGAGAACTCTGGCCCTTTAAGTCGAAGAGAGGCAGTACCAACAAAGTTTTATAGCAAGATGCAACAGTACCGACACACGTTGGGTCATTTATCTGCGGTATACTGCGTGCTATTTGATCGCACTGGCAAGTATATTATAACCGGAGCGGATGACTTGCTCGTCAAAGTGTGGAGTGCCATCGATGGACGTTTACTCGCCACTTTTCGAGGCGCGTCCTCAGAAATTATGGACATCGCTGTGAACTTCGATAATTCTTTGCTAGCAGCTGGAAGCATAGATCGAGTATTACGAGTCTGGTGTTTCCAGACGATGTCGCCTGTGAGTGCATTAAAAAGATGATAAAAATAATTATTTCTAGGTGTGCAATAATTATATTTCTTTTTCTAACTTAAATCTTATTCAAGGTGGCAGTTTTGACTGGACATTCAGGCATGATCACATCCGTCAATTTTTGTCCAATAGCGTGTAATGATATTTACTATTTGGTCTCTACTAGTACTGATGGATCTGTAGCCTTTTGGTCTCACACAAAGAAACACAACGAGAGAGCTGTGTTTCAGTAAGTTTAATTGATTGGCTGCGTGCAATAATATTATCTTCAACATTCTATGAATAATATTTTTATATTAAACTAATTGCGATGTGTATTGCAGAGCAAAACCTATTCAGTTCCTCGAGAGAATGAGACCTGGTCAAGCACAAATGATTTGTGCCTCTTTCAGTCCTGGAGGTGCCTTTATAGCAGCTGGATCTGCGGATCATCATGTGAGAGTTTATGCGATGTTAGGGGACGAAGGGCCGCGCAGAGTCCTCGAAGTCGAGTCTCACACCGATACTGTGGATAGTATTCAGTGGGCGCACTACGGTTTAAAATTCATTTCTGGTTCTAAAGACGGTACCGCGAACGTGTGGCATTTCGAGCGACAGCAATGGATGCACAAACAGCTGCTTATGACAACAAAGCTCCTTGGGTGTGTTTTCGATTCTTAAATTCTGTAAAGGAATTTTTCCCATTTTAAATTGTCTATTTTAAAACACTTTCTTTTCGCTCTTACAGAGAACCGGAAGCGGATGACGACACGAACAAGAAAGCGAAGGTGACCATGGTTTGTTGGGACGTGAGTGACGAATTCGTTATAACAGCCGTGAACGATTATTCGCTGAAAGTGTGGATTGCAAAATCGGGCGCACTGATAAGAGTTTTGCGTGGACACAAAGATGAGGTGTT